TGGAGAGGAGAGGGAGAGGGAGAGGGAGCTGGCTGGTGGGCTGTCCTTGTGGGCATCGGGGGGCCTCCCCCAGGTGAGAGAGGAGAGGAAGCAGTTCACAGCTCATGCCACTCTACCCTCAGCATTCCTCTGGTGGGGGCTCGTCCACTTTTAAAAAGCCCTTTGCAGGTATTAGGGAGCACCAGATCTTTTTCTCCGCCATGGAGCTACAGGAAGAGGTCATGTCCCCTTGGCCTGTGGTGCAGCCTTCCCCATGATCCCTGGTCTGAACTCCAGGGAGCAGCTGTGGCCCTTCTCCTCTGTGTGCTGCTGGGCAGGAGTCTGTCTGATTGCTGGCTCACCCAGGCCAGGGTGGGACGGAGAAAGGGAGGCTTCACTGAGGTGGGGCCACCAGCTGCCACAGCATTTGGCCACCCTGAGTGGGCCCTCTTAGACCTGTTTGATGACTCTAGCTCCCTGCTTGGGCCTGTGGCCTTGTACCTGCATGGACAGCCTGGCTTTGCTGTCTGTTGGCCACACGGGCAGTACTTGAGCAAGGTGCATAGGGAGGGTGGTGCTGCTGTTCTGTGGCAATGCAATGGGGTGAGATAAAGGGGAGTGGCATTGACTTTGTCCTGGGAGCTTTGTATAGGGGGTGCAGGCCTGGCTGTCACATGGGCACCATGTAGCTGCCTCCCTGGAGCTGGCCGTGGCTCAGAAGCCATCCCACCAGCAGAGTCACCTCTGCATTTGGCCAGTGAGGTGTGCTCGGCCAGGAGGGACTGTGTGGACAGTCCAAGACCAGCAGGGAGGGGTGAGGTGTGTTGATTTTGTACCTGGAAGTTGGTTTCTGGGTCTGGTTTTGCAAGCTGCTGGGCTGAGCCCTCTCTTATGGTCAGATCAAGCAGACCAAGGTCAGCCCTGGGGCTGTGACGAAGTGTGAACACCAGAAATGCATTGTAGCTGATAGCTGCCTTTTCTCTGGGGGCATCTCCCAGGTGTGTGGCCCACATTCACGGCCCAGCAAGCCACAGATGGTGATCTGATTCCATCATCTTGGTGGGCCCTAGGGTGGGGGAAGAATTTGGCATGGTGCAGAAGTCTGCAGAGGGTCCACACAGCCCCTCTTCTCTCCAAGTTGTACCATCAACTCTGGAGAAAAGACAGCACAGCAGGCACCCAGAAGGTAGGAGGGAGCTGCAGGTGGGCCTGGATTCAGATGGGACCCACAGAAAGACACTATCGACTTTTCCCACATCACTTCCGGCTGGCTGCCACCTGTAGAAGCACGCTTGCTGGAAAATGACAGAGCCACTTGCTCAGGGCACTGCCTGGTAACACTTGCTGAAGGACCTCAGGCCCGAGCGTTGACAGCTCAGTTGGGCCCAGCTGGGCTCTTCAAACCAGCTCCACAGAACATGCCTTCCTGCTGCCTGCCTTCCCCTCTTCCCCCCTCTTGTCTCCATCCCCTCCTCACTTCATCCATTGAGAGTGTGCAGTTCAGGCATTCATTCAGTGTCATGTATCCTTCGCCCCTAATTCCAGAATGTGTTCATCACCCCAAAAGGAAACTCCATACTCGTTAATCTCGGCCTCCCCTCAGCCCTGGCAAGCATGAATCCACCTTCTGTCTCGGTGGTTACGCACAGGGTCATGTGACCTTTAGTGGCTGGTTTCTTCCACTTGGGTAATGTTTTCAAGGTTCACCCATGTTGTAGTGTATTGGTGTTTTATTCCTTATTATGGCAGGAGGTGTTCCTTGTATGAAGGTACACCTTACTTGTTTGTCTGTGCCTCTGTTGATGGATGTTTTAGATAGTTCTGTTTTGTTTTTGAGATTGTCTCACTATGCCAGCCAGGCTAGGGTAGCTTGGAACTCCTGGGCTGGAGCCATCGTCCCCTCTCAGCCTTTTGCGTGCTGGGACTACAGGCGGCATTGCTATGCCTGGCCTTAGCTACTGTTTCTGGAGTGGCTGCTTCATGCTGCTTGCTGGCTTTGGAGCTGGAGATGCCCCTGAGCAAGTTGCAGCCTTGGGGTTCAAAGAGCGGGGGAGAGGGGTGGTGTCAGGAAATGGGCAGCCTGTGCCCAGGTGGTCTAAGCCCAGAGCTCACATCTTCTTGGGAAACTAGGACGTTTACCAAGGATCCAGAAGTGCATGTGACGTTTCGGGGTTGGTGATTCAGTGAAGCTCCCTAGTTATCCTGACACCCCTTCCAATGAATGGTGTTTTGGAAAATAATCACGGTGTAGATCCGGGTCCCTTTTGTTAAGAGTGGGTTGGGCAAGGATTTGGTACTGCCCGGTAGAGATGTCACATGTAGCTATTTAAATTAGTTAAAATTGAATTAAAAATTCAGTTCCTCGTTAGGATTAGCTCTGTCTCTGGTACCCAGAAGTCACACATGAGCACATTGTGACAAAAGCCTCAGAGATGTAAAGTTAGGAGCCAATAGTGGCATGTGTAGGCACACATCCAAAGTGATTAAAAGCAGGGTTGTGCTGGGCGTGTTGGTGCGGGCCTGTTATTATTATTATTATCCTAGCACTCAGAAAGCTGAGGCAGGAGGATCGACAGTTTGAGGCCAGCCTAGACTACAAAGTGAGACCACCCTGTCTCAAAAAAAAAACAAAAACAAAGCAAACAAAAGAAAGCAGGGTCACAAAGAGCCGTTTCACCCATGGTCATAGCAACGTCATTCACAGTAGTCAACAGGAAAGAAGCATCTCGGATGGATGGGCGAATAAAATGTGATATGTACACTGAAGAGTATTATTTAACTTTGAAAAGGAAAGGAATTCTGACGCAGGCCACCTCATGGGTCAACCTTGAGGATGTCGAAATGCTCCATGAAACATACCAGTCACAAAAGGACAAATGCCCTGCGAGTCCACTCACATGAGGTCCCTAGAGTCAGATTCATAGGCAGAAAGCGGAATGGGGACTGAGCGGCAGTTTTGCAAGATGAGAAGGTTCTAGAGGCCGGTTGCACAACCTGGGAGTACACGCTTCACACTAGTGAACCGTACACTTAGAGACGGTTAGGATGGTAAATTTTACCACAGACTTTCAGAGGCTCACATGGCCAGTGACTGCTGGGTTGGACAGCAGTGACCCAGGACATTTTGGTTAGCACAAGGGATGAAGTAGGTAGGCTCTACCATCCCTTTAGGCTGGCTCCAGCACCTTGGGGTCTGGGCAGGCCCCCTGGGGCTTTCCATGGAGAGCCGGGGTTCAGTTCAGCAGTGTTTCTGGGTGAGGAGTACTGCAGCAGGCCCCAGAACTCCCTTCCCAGCCAGGCAGGTGTAGGGGGACAGGCTCTCAGAAGAGGGGTCTGCAGGAGAGTGCTGGGCTCCAGGAACTTCTCTGTCTCTGGGAAGGATCAGGCTCCTGTGTGTTTTTTTTATTACCTCTCTTGCAGAGTGTCTGGTGGACAGGATGTTTGCTCTGGTCGGACTTTTTGCACTGAACCTTGGTGCCAGTGGAGGGGCCACCTGGAGTCCCGCAGACCTTTCTTCCTTGCCTGGGGGGTGGTGAGGGAGACCTGGGGGGAAGGCAGCCCTCCCCCTGCATACTGCTCTGGAGAGGAGGGAAGGGGGTGAAGGAGCAGGAGGGAAGTGGAGGTGGGGCAAAATGGCTCCCAGACCCAAGGACAGATGGAAACAATTTTCAGTCACATGGGCGAGAGCTGAACCGCTGCCCTGCAAGGCAGGGCCCCTTGTCTGTCTCCAGGAAACAGCCCCAAAGCCACAGCTTCTAGGGCCAGATGCGATGCTGTGTCTTTGTTTATTTAAAGATGCTGGAAGCCCCGGGAGGATATTTCTGAGCAGGGAGCAGAGCCCCTGCCTTGAAGTCTTGCAGGGCTGTGTGTCCCCAGCCTAGGGGGGTGGGGGGTGGGCGGGCAGCCTGGCGCCTAGAGCTCAGTGAAAGGAGCCCGTGGCCTCCAGAATCTGAATTGTGTTGCCGGCATTGTTTGGGGATAGAGATTTGTAGACCCTGTGGCAATTCCTGGCATTTTTATCTGCATTCTGTTGTTTCATTGTCCTCTGATCTGGGGAAGTAGAGAAGATTGTGCCCCCATGGAAACAGGGAACCGAGCTGCCCAGGAGTATGGCACACTCCCCACCCCCTTTCCAGAACTGATGTTGTAAGGCTCTCATCCTCCTGTCTGTCCCCTTCCTCAGGTGTGGCATGAGGGCTGGACTGGGTTGCTGGGCTCTGTGCTTCAGCCAGACCCCAGGGGAGCAAGTCTTGAGCACCCCTGCTGGGCAGGAGCACGTTGAGTCTCCAGTGGGCATGGTTGTGGGAGGGTGGTCTTCCTCCACTCCCACTGTGGACTCAGCAGCCAGGGAAGGAACTGTGGCCTGGAGGGAGGATCTTGTTCTAACCTACAGATGGGAGCTCGGGTTATTTCAAACTCCGCTGCCTAAAGGCAGACCTCAGAGCAAAACTGGGCCTCACCTGGGATGGGAGCACATGGGGCTGGAGGTGACCTGGGTGGCGGTCAGTCATATGGTCAACCCCATGCTTTCCCACCTCTGGCCCCAGGAATGTCATTAAGCTGCCCAGGAGTGGTGACACCCATAGGAACTGAACAATACTGGTGCCCTTCCTCCTTTCTTCAGAAGGCCAGTAGGGACTATCTCTCCCTTGTGACCTGTTTGTGGCTGCCCACAAGTACAAAGGGCTCTGTGGCTCTGAGCAGCAGCTGTTGCAGCTTCTCTGAGCTGAGGTGAAAGGGACACCTTGGTCCCCAGGCCAAGGGGAGGCAGGATGAAATGTCTGCGGTCTTGCCAAGAGCTGGGGTGGCTGGGGGACAGTGACCTGGTGGGTGGCGCTGTGATGAGGGGCTTTGGCTCTGGGGCATTCTGCAGGGATCCCATGGGCAGGTTGCTAACCTGAAGCTTCCGTTTCCCCATCTGAGAATAGGCCTGATGGTCTGAGCTGCCTGACCACGTGGTACCTGGCAGACATCTGTAGACAGCCCCGTCACACCCTAATGCCGCTGCTCTTCTTCCTCAGCCACCGAGGCAGCTCCCAGCTGTGTGGGCGACATGGCTGACACCCCCAGAGACGCCACGCTCAAGCAGACACCTGCACCACGGAGTGAGAAGGCCCCCGTGGACTTCGGCTATGTGGGGATCGACTCCATCCTGGAGCAGATGCGCAGGAAGGCCATGAAGCAGGGCTTTGAGTTCAACATCATGGTGGTTGGTGAGTCCCCACGCCAACCTGCCACTCCAGACCCATTCAGGGAACTGGCCTCAGCACTGTGAGCCAGTCACAGAAGCTCTTGGGATTAGTCTTCCCTCCTATAAAATGGGTGACAGCCCTGGACTAGAGAAGAAGAAATTGCAGGTGATGTTGTGTGGGCCTGCATGTGCCCTGGAGGAGGGTCTCTCTAGCCTCCTATGCTCCTGGGGGTTCTCACTGTGCTAAGAACCCCTGGTGTACCTGGGCACCAGTGGCTCATGCCTGTAATCCTAGCTACTCAGAAGACAGAGGTCAGGAGGATGGCGGTTTGAAGCCAGCACAGGCAAATAGTTCCTGAGACCCTATCTCAAAAAAACCCATCACAAAAAAGGGCTGGTGGAGTGGCTCAAGGTGTAGGCCCTGAGTTCAAGCCCCAGTACTGCATAAAACAAACAAACAAACAAACCCCTGGTGTCACCTGGGTGAACGTGTATAAGGGGAAGCCCTCTGTGATCAGTGAGTTTTTCCTTAGCACCTTCCTTGCTGTTGCCCCAGTCCTTACCTTCGGGCATGGAGAGGCTCAGCCCTCACACCCAGCAGGCCTGGTTAGGGGGCTTTCTGGAAGTTTAGCTTGGCTGCCTGCCTGGCAGGTGGGGGCTGGAGGCTTCTTCCCCCTCCTCATGGCCACGAAGAACTGGATGTCACCAGGGGGAGGTCATTGATCAGTGTGACCTGGACAGGCTGCTGGGCTGAGCTGGGGTTTGCAGCCGGTAGCCTCTTCCTTCAGAAGCACCCACTACTCTCCCCCGTGGTGGGCCCTACATAGGCCTAAACCTGTGAAGTGGCTGCTCCACTCTTCAGGAGCAAATTAGCCACTGTTTTCAAACTCTGCTGGCTTCATGGGGTGGCAGAAGGGGTCTGGATAAATTCCCCCACAGGCTCAAGCCCTAACAAAGGTGGGGTTTCCCCTCTGCAAGGGGAAAAGCCGGGCACTTCCTTTCTGCCCAGCTTTGTAGCGTGGCCTGGACCTGCCTTCCTGCATGGCACCTCTGCTCTCCCCTGGCCCAGTGCCTCTGGAGTCTTGGTGTCCTGCTATAAGCAGCCTTGCTGGACAGTCACCTCTAGCCCCACCAGAGTCAGACACTGTGTTGGAGAACTTGTCCCCTTGGGCCTGATCTGCTGCTAAAGCCGCTTGTCTTGGGATCTGAAACTTCTGGGTGAAGTTTGGCCAGGCACTGAGTCCTGGCTGTTTGGGTGTATACTCATCACTGCACCCACCTTGGAGGTGCAGCCCCAGCCAGGCCTACCTGGCAGAGATGCGCTGGTGTGTTGTAAGCCTAGGCATCGGCCATATCGCAGGGCCACAAACCCTCCTCCCTGGAGGGCTCACCAACTGGCCTCTCATTCTCTCCCCAGGGCAGAGCGGCTTAGGAAAGTCCACCTTAATCAACACCCTCTTCAAATCCAAAATCAGCCGGAAGTCAGTGCAGCCCACCTCAGAGGAGCGCATCCCCAAGACCATTGAAATCAAGTCCATCACCCACGGTCAGCACCCTGGCAGTGGGGGCGAGGACTGGGTGGTGGGACCCCTTCCTTCCACGGGATTAAGGGAGCCCAGGCCAGGGAAACCCGGGCCCCTGAGAGGGGCCTCCCCATGACCCCCACCCCCCCAGCATGTTGAGATTCTGGATAGGACTCAGACTGAGCCCCCGAAGACAGTGGAAAACCCAAAACTGTGGTACCCGGGTAACGAGCCTCTGGACTTCATTGCTAGCGGTCTTTTTCTGTCCACTATCTCCTGGGCTGCCATTGAAGCCCCCCTGGGGTGCCTGGGGACCTAAGTCTCCCCTCTGACTCTGGTGCTGTCTGGTGCTGTGGTTCCTGTAGATATTGAGGAGAAGGGGGTCCGGATGAAGCTGACTGTGATCGATACACCTGGGTTCGGGGACCACATCAACAATGAGAACTGGTGAGCAGCTCTGGGGACTCCCTCTTCCAGGTAAAACAGCATTCTGAGGGCTGGAGGTTCCCTGAGCCCCACCGGAGTCAGACCCCGTGTTGGAGAACTTGTCCCCTTGGGCCTGATGTGCTAGTAAAGCTGCTTGTCTTGGGATCTGAAAATTCTGGGTCAAAGTGGAATTGTGTCCCCCCAGATTCAAAGGTCAGACTGGGGAGATTGGCCTGGGACCTCTAGTATAAGGCTGTTTTATCTCTGTGTAGAACGCCAAGGACCCCCAGGTCCTAACTAGGAAGTTGGATATTGGCCAAGAGTTCTGGGGCTTGGTGACCTGCTAGGGAGGGATAGGGGAGCTGTCACCATCCACACAGTCTGGCTTGGAGAGGACTTGACCGCCAGCTTGGGTGGGAGGAGTCTTGGGTGCAGGCTGACCTGGGTCTCTTCCTGTAGCTGGCAGCCCATCATGAAATTCATCAACGACCAGTACGAGAAGTACCTTCAGGAGGAGGTCAACATCAACCGGAAGAGGCGCATCCCAGACACTCGCGTCCACTGTTGCCTCTACTTCATCCCTGCCACCGGCCACTCGTATGTCCTAGCCCTGCCCTGGGTCCTCGTGGGGGGTGGCTTGGGTTCTGTCACCCCTAAGGCTGCCTTCAGGGTGCTGTCTTTCTAGCCAGCGGACAGGCATAGAGGGGCCGAGTGAGGGCTGTCGTCAGCAGCTGATAGATGGGTGACATGCTGTATCTGTGCCCCAAAACCTCCCTGTGATCTTTGCATGTTTGGCCTCCTGCCCCCTCCACCTCTCTGTCCCTGTCTGCAGGGCTGAAGACTTAGGCGGACCCTGGACTGTTCCAGATCTGATGGTCGGGCTTGTCAGGGGGATTGAGACCTCTGGGTTGTGCATCCCAGCAGTCACCTCTCTCCATGCTGGTGGGGGATGGAAAATGCCATAGGCCACTCAGGGGGTTCTTGGCTGTGAGGCCTAGAACACAGGGTCCTGGCAGGGTTGGGCAAGGCTGTGTTGGTGAGAGCCCTTGTATGCCAGTCCTGCCCGTCCTGAGTTGCACCTGGAGGCCAGACAGGCTGGGAAGCCCTGGGTTCCCTTGGTCTCCCCTGACCACGGCAGGTGGACCCATAGTCCTTGGCTCCCTGTGAACCCCATCTGTCTGCAATGCTTAGGTACCTTTCCAGGAGGACACCCTGAGTCAGGGCATGGGGAGGGGGCCAGTCTTAGGGTCCAGGAGATAGCCAGAGCAGCAGCTGGCAGTGGCTTGTTGGACTGAGATAGAGTTAGGATTCAGAACCCCAAATGGTGGGGCCTGAGTCTGGACTGTTACAGGCTCACCCTGGGGTGTAGGAAGTCCAGGGGCTTGGGGATCCCACACCCTGCAGAAAGGAGTCTAGCTGTTGGTCAGCAAGCCTCACCCTGGTGAATTGTGGGAAAACCTGAGCCCAAGTCCACTAGCCTGCCTGTGGTATCACCTCCTGTAGACCAGAAAGAGTCCATTTGGGCTGGGGTAAGGGTGCTGTGAGGCCTGTCATGAGGCCTCACCTGGGATGGAAGACCTGGTCCAGGAGTCCTGTGGCAGCCAGTCCAGCTGCTGCCATCTCTGACTGGGCTGAGTTTGATGGTGGGAGACAGAGGTCCCAACATGGCATCAGCACGGCGAGCCAAGGGTGGTTCCCTAGAGATGACCCTCTGGGTTGGGACCCCAGCTGTGCACTGTGCCTGGTTCCCTCCCCCCGCACCCCTAGTCCTAGGGGCAGGGGTGGCTCTTGGCCATCTTTGCTCAGGCTTTGGCCTGAGAGCCCACTTTCCCCACACTGCCTGTGACTTGCTTTTATCCCTGTATGGGAAGGCTGTGTTCCAGTAGGAAAGTGGGGCCAGCATTCAGGGGCCCCTCCCCATGTCAGGTGGAGCCAAGCCACCCTGGGGAGCAGCCAGTCTGTCTTAGGGAGCCCAGCACTGCTAGGCCCTGGCTCCCGTCTCTTTCCTCTTCCACCAATCAAAGCCCCACAGCAAGATGGCCATCAGCTCCTCATGTGTGGACACAAGTCCGGAGCAGCTGGGCTCTTGGGCTTGGAGCTAGCCTGGCCCCAGCGCCTCCTGCTTCAGCCTATTGATGCTGCTGTGTACGGAGCCTGCCCTGTCCCCTCTCCTCGTCCTGTGCTGCCCACTTGGCTGGTGTTGAACCCATGACCAACACCCTGCCAGTATGGACCCAGCTGTGAACCCTTGATTGCCCCCTGAGCTCAGTCTCAATTACGTCATGTTTTTTCAGTCTCAGGCCCCTAGACATTGAGTTCATGAAGCGCCTGAGCAAGGTGGTCAACATTGTCCCCGTCATCGCCAAGGCTGATACGCTGACCCTGGAGGAGAGGGTCTACTTCAAACAGCGGGTAAGGCACTTAGCCTCCACCAAGGGAAATGTCCTTCAGTGGACTGCCTGAATAAGCTGACAGGGGCCACCCCAGCCCAGGGAGAGTCACCAGAAGAGTCCCTGGCCTGGGAGGGTTCTGGGGGCATCTCGGTGGTCCCCTGTCTCTCAGTAGCAGCTCCACAGGAGCTCCGGTGACCTCTGAGTGGAGACTGGTGAAGAGTAGATAGGCCGGCATCAGTGTCCCTTCAAGGAGTTAGGTGGACAGCAAGTGCCCCCTCCGGGGAATGACGCTGACACACAGCCATCAGACACAATGTGCCTGGTTTTTACCAGGCAAGCTGTCCAGAGGACAAATGGGTGTTGTCTGCTTCTCTGCCTGTCTAAACAGGCGAGCCCTCCCTGAGTCACTTTGTCCTAACAGGGCTTCACTTCAGAACCATCTGGCAACTTCTACAAAATAAGAGTGGGTATGAGTAAGGCCTTAAATTGAATTCCACAAGCTTTGAGGGCCTCCATAGGGGGTCATGTGTCAGGAGTTTTCCCAGCATGCTTAGGGAAGGATGGTCCACTGCATAGGATGTGTCTGTTGGAGGGAAAAGGGTCAAGGGGGCCCTGAAGCTGTGCCTGGGCTTGTGTCTGCTGGGGGTAGACATGATGGCTGTTCCCTGACATACAGTCTATTGATGCCACCTGGCCAGGGCTGCTATCAGGGTTGGACATTTTAATACTGGCAGGTGCCCTCTGGGCTATAGGAGGGACCTATGCTGGCCCTGGAGCTACTATAAAAGGGTTTCAGGAAGAGAAGGCTCAGAAACCCTGAGTTATTTTATGGGGGGCTGGGGGGTCATTGTGATGATCTGGACAGAAAAGACCAGAAGTCACTCAGGACAGTGACTCAGAGTCCCTTGGGCATGTCTCAGCTGTCCCTCCTCTCCTCAGGGGGCATCAGAACTGGAAATTGTCATGGTCACAGTCCCCCAGGGTCTGTGTTTGACTCGGGTCTAAGGCAGCTCACAGCGTGGAGGTCACAGCAAGGGTAGATACTGACTGGAGGGCAGAGCTTGCCACAGGGATGGTGCCTTCTTCTCTCCACTCCCCAGATCACTGCAGACCTGCTGTCCAACGGCATTGACGTGTACCCACAGAAGGAGTTTGACGAGGACTCGGAGGACCGGCTGGTGAACGAGAAGTTCCGGGTGGGTGGATCAGGCCCCGGTGCTGTTCCCCAAGTCCCTCAGTTCTTGTCGGTGGGCGTGGAGGGCAGGGCATTCAGGGGACCCTGGAAGGGACCCTGCTTTGAGCCATGCAGATGTATTCCGGGCTGGGAGGGGATGGAGTCCGGGGCGCAGGGCAGCTCTCTCAGGGCTCAGGGGAGGGACTGGCCTCTGTGAGCACAAGTGACCAGCAACACCTGTCCCCTTCCCAGGAAATGATACCATTTGCTGTGGTGGGCAGTGACCATGAGTACCAAGTCAATGGCAAGAGGATCCTCGGAAGGAAGACCAAGTGGGGCACCATCGAAGGTACTTGCTGCACTGGCACTCAGGGCCCCAGGGAGATCAGGAAAATAAGCCACTTCTGTTGACGATCTGAGCTCGAGTCCTTTGCACTGTGTGTCCCTGGGTCTTCCCCTCTTATGAGGACATTGAATATAGAGCCTCAGTCTCCACCATCTGTAAAGTGGGTGCTGTGTGCCCAGGTTTCAGTACATTGAGAGACTCTTAGAGCTTCCTGAGGAACAACTGATCAAAGAAATAAGCCATAAAGTTGATAACTAGGCAGTGACACTCCCCAGGCATCCAGCTCATGGTGTAACTCTCTCATTTAATCCCTGGGGCTGTCTGAGGTCCCTCCCTGTACCCACATTCTTACAGGAACGAGATGCAGCGGGGACCCTGGAATGGGAGGCGGCTATCGAGCCCACAGGTCCACCCTGCCTGGACCCTTTAAGTTACAAGTTAGGAGCATAAGTCTGGTGGAGGGTACAAAGGGGCACAGGGCCTTTCTGAAGAGGTGCCACTGCTCCTCTGCTCCTGTGGCCCCGCCCCTGCTGTGCTTCCACCTCCAGTGGGGGTGTTTTCTAAATCAGCCTCTGGGTGTTTTTCAGTGTCTGTCACTCTTCTTATAGGAGCTGCCTGAACTAGGGGGGCTTTTTTTAGGCTCTGTCCCCCTTGGCCCCTCCTCCAATTCCCTTCCTCTCTGTCCCCCAGATCTTGCTATTCTGGAGCCTCTGTATGAAAGGCATGATTTGCCAGGCGGAGAAGTTAGGGATAAGAAAAAGCCCTTGGGGACCTGGGGGCGAGAACCCACATTGGCCTCTGCTGCCCCCTTGTGGCCAACCGTGGCACCACATGCAGGCAGTAACATTGTTGGGACGTTAACGAGACCACAGGGATGCTCACAGTTGAGTCCGAGAAGTCACTCTTGAAAACCTGTGATGTTTGCATGGTGGTGGGTCCCACGTCCAGTGGCCTTTCTGAGGATCCTGGGGACTTCACAGAACATAATGATTGTTCATATAAGGGACCCCACGAGTTGAAAACTGACCAGAGACTTAACCAGTTTGTGTTCACCCCTGAGACGTGTGGACGTGAGGTGGTTCTGCCTTGTTCTTGCCTCCCTCTTAGTGTGCACCATTGCTAGGTAACTTTCCTGTTCTAGGAGGCCACCTGGAGTACCATCAGGAAGAAGGCAAGGTTCCATAAATTACACCATGGACTCATTAGACAGATGACATCCCATTATTCCATTTTACTGATGAGGAAACTGAGGGTCAGAAAGACCAGCATAATATTCCCAAGCCAGGAAGCAGGGATCACACACAACTCCAATTTGAGAGCTCTGTCCTGGGTAGGCTCTAGTGTGGACCCAGCTCTGCAGAGCTGGGAGCATGGAGGAAGGCTTTGCCCAGCCTCTGCCCTGCCTGCTGTCTTGTCAGCAGAAAATCAGATGTTTAAACAAGAAAAACCTGGTCATTCTGTGAGGCACACTGGACTGTGAAGCTGCAGGTTCCAGATTCCTCTGTGATCTCACCATGCAAAAGCCAGACAGACGCATTTCTTGCCTTCCCTTAGCCTGGTTTTCATGAGTAAAAAAGAGGAGTCCTTGTATGCACCCAGCAGGGCTGTGGAGAATGAACTGATCTATGTAGAGGGTATCTTTTATTCAGGTAGTCTGCCAGCTCCCCTCCACTGGTGCAGCTCAGAGCCCCCACCCCATGGGAAGGTCCTCTATATTATGCTTGCCTGGCAGTGGGTGTGCCCCTGAGTTCCAAAGCATAGCCACGAATGATGCTCTAACAGTCTGCCAGCTGAAGCTCTGCCCTGCACCAGCATACTCGGGAACCCATGGACCCCTGCCCCCATCGTCCTGTCCCCCCCAAAAGTGACTGCAGTCTCCAGCTATGCCTCACACACACGTGCACACCCTGGGCTTTTTGTGTCTCATATGCAGTTGTCCCTAGTCAATGTCACGTTGAGTTTTGCTGGTTCTTGAGCTTGATATCACAAGCTCACTATGCATGTGTGTGAACGTGTGTGTCCCCTGCATGTGCTCTGAGCACGGTCGATCGGTCGGGTCTTACGGGATATACACAAAGGGCCCAGGTTTTCTTTAAATCCCCCATACAATCCCAGCATCTCAGCACCACCCCCCCACCGTCTTTGGGTATTGATGGGACAGCCTACCTGTCCCTTGAGACCTTGATCACCCCAGTGGAGCAGGGCCCCACCCTTTCTGACTCTCTGCACCATTGTTGTCTTGGCTGGGTACTGTGCCATCTCCCACTAGACTGGAACCTTTTAGAGAGCAGACACTGACTTTGCCCTACCACCCCAGTGTCCCCAGTACTGACAGCAGTGCCAGGTGTCTGCAGATGCCCATAGCTTGCTATAGATCAGGTGACTCTCTTCCTTCCCTGCCCACCTGCCAGTGGACTGTCCTGGGAAGCTGCCCTTGGCACCAGCATTACTAGGTGGGAGGGGACAGCTGTGGTAAGGAGGGACTTCCCATGTGACATCAAAGCTCTCTGTCCCCTCTCCTCAGTTGAGAACACCATGCACTGTGAGTTCGCCTACCTGCGGGACCTCCTTATCAGGTGAGACTGGTGGTGTTTGGGGTGGGCTGAGGACTGTCACCTCCAAAGGCCTCTGAGAGAGACTGAATTCAGGGTGTGGGTGACCCAGGAAGCAGGTGGCAGTTCTGCCCGTCGTCTGTCCTACCTTCAGGAAGACTATGGAAGACCATTTTCTTTAAAAAAAAAAAAAAGAAAGAAAAATCCTTTTGGAAATGAATAAAGCAAGAAATGAAAAGCCTTCTTGCCCAGGCACCAGGTGGCTCATACCTGTAATCCTCATGACTCAGGAGGCAGATCAGGAGGATCATGGTTCGAAGCCAGCCTGGGAAAATAGCTGGAGAGACCCTATCTCAAAAAACCGTTCACAACAAAGGGCTGGTGGAGTGGCTCAAGGTGAAGGCCCTGAGTTCAAGCTCCAGCTGTGACCACTGAGGCTCTGTGAAGTCTCTTGGGTGGACTCCTGCCCTTTGACCTGATTGAAGTTTTTCCTTGGTCTCATGCACCTGGGCAGAAAGCAGGTTGTTCTCCAACACATAAAACCCCATTCAAGGTGGTGCCAGGTGGGCAGTCCCTGGAGCAGCAGCCCTAGGCTGGCAGTGGACGGAGGTGGAGGTTTCCTGCTGGGGTACCCTGGACCTCCAGTCCCTCAGCCGGGGGAGATGGATGCTGAATGATGTCAAGAGGAAGGGCAGAGCCATCTGAGAGGCTCCGGGTAGGGGGTTTCCAGAAGCGACCTCACCATTTTGGGGAACCCGACTCTTCTAACCTCTCCAGTTTCCTGTTTTTGAGTGCCAGAGGAAAGAAAGTGGGGGAGCTAGGGGTGCAGCTCAGTAGTACAGCGCTTGCCTAGCACACTCAGGGTCCTGGCTGGACTCCATCCCCAGCATCACAGAAGTCCTGTGCCATGGCCGTCTACTCCAGGCCATTTGCCTCTACAGGCCACAGCCTGGGGGTCAGCAGCCACCCATTGCCTCCTGCTGGCCAGCACCCTGCTGCTTCTGTTCTGGAGTAGGGACGCTCCAGACCTGCCCACTATGAGACCTCTGACCCTTCCCACTCTGGGTCTGTGCCCAACACCCAGCTGCCTGTCCCTGGACAGGCACCAGACTCTGTGGACACAGAATCATTAAAATAAGTGTGTGAGGTCTGGGGTGACCAGGAAGGAGATTCTGTCCCCTATGCAGGGGTAGGTGGAGAGGCGGGGGGCAAGGGGGTCTTGGTCAGCTCGAGCTGGCTGCCACCTCCCTCCTGCAGGACGCACATGCAGAATATCAAGGATATCACCAGTAGCATCCACTTTGAAGCCTACCGCGTGAAACGGCTCAACGAGGGCCACAGCGCCATCGCCAACGGGGTCGAGGAGAAGGAGCCAGAAGCCCAGGAGATGTAGACACCACCCATGCCCCGGGACCCTGCCCCCAAGTCTGTTCGTCCCCCCCCACCCCCGCCGAGGCCCACCCACTTGCCCCATCTTATTTTATACAACTTTGTCCATTTGTCATTGTTCTCCACCCCTTCCCACGCTGCCAGGTAACAAGTGTGTTTGTCATTAGCCCCCACCTGCTGTGGGCATGGGGTGGGTGGGACCTGGGCCTGGCCTTCCCCTGGGCTGGAGGAGAGGACCTAAGGAATCTGACCCCCTACACAGGCCCAGTCCCCCAGGGGCCACAAGAGTCACTTGTCTGTGCCCACCCCTGTGAGTTCTCAGAGCCAGAGCCTCTGCAGGACCAGATCCCCTCCACTCCCATGGGCACAGCCCTTAGACTGGTCAGAGGCTGTGCCCAGGGGAGGATAGAGCTGGCCAGGAGAATCTGGAGTTGGCTGGCTGTCCCCCCATGTGGCACCTCACTCCCCTGCTCCCAAGGGGAGACTAGAGGATTCCACAACCCAAGTTGCCAATTGCTAAGACGTGGCAAGGCCCAGGCTGCTCTTGCCCAGAAGCCTGTTCTGGAGCAGAAAGTGCCTTTATCTCAGCTGTCCACACCAGCCAGTGGACTCTCCCCTACTGTCCCCTCAGGCCAGAAACAGGGACAGGTTGGAGAGAGGGAGGTATGTATTGTTTCCCCTCCCCCCTCCCTCCTCACACCTCCTGTGCTGCCAACCCACTGGGTTCTAAGGATGCTTAGGAAGCACAGAAGGTGCTTCCACCCTGAATCTGAAAGTTCTAAGCAAGTGAATCCAGTAGAGAAGACAGGGAGGAAGCCATGGAAAGTGCTGGAAGGAGGGTGGAGGGGTGTGTGGGAGCTGTGTTGCCCTGCACGGGTGCCCGGGGAGGTCTGTCTCATCTTTGGTTTGGCCCTAGATGCTCTAGTTACATTGGCACTCATTCACCCCACCCCCAGACTCACCATCCTGGCTCAGGCTTTGCTGACTCAGTGACCCAGGCCAGTGGGAGCTGGTACAACCTGACCATTTGTTGTCATACATGCGCCTAGGTTCCTGCACCCCAGAACCCATCATAAAGACCCCTAAAGAAGGAGAGACAGAGGGGTCAGAGATGCATGGAACACAGCCAGGCTGCAGAGCCAGACTGCACAGTGGCACAGCCTGGTTCTTTCACCCTTTATCCTTGTGACAGGGGCCAGCAAGGACCATCACCATGCATAGCTGACCAAAGTCACTTCCTTTCTGCCTCCCGTTCCTGGCGAGGTTGGATGCAGGTGTACAGCGCCAAGGCATGTCTGTCTGCAAGACCCCAGGCTGGCTTCTTGCAGCTAGAAGTGCAATGGGAGAGGCAGGGTGCGGAGAGACTTGGTGCATGGGTGTGGGTGCTGCTTTGGGTGTGTGTGTGCATATGTGTGCGCATGCGTGTGTGTGGAAGTCACAGCACCGGGCGTCTTAATCCACCCCCACCCAGGCATGGCAGGACCCTCACCAAGCTCCCTCAGCTGAACAGTTTACTTGCTAACTGCCAACTTGCCGAGTTTTTGCCAAAACCAAGACTTTGAAGGAACTGTCCAGCCCCAGGGGCCAGGATGTGAGCAGCCTTCCCCAGCCCCCATGTCACTCGGGGTTTTAGCCCCCATGTCACTCGGGGTTTTAGCAGCAATCCCTGCCTTGGGATGGCTTTGCTTTCCTTCTCTGTAACCAGATTTTGAAAACTATTCATTTCACTGGGCTCTGTTCCACAATGGCCTTTTGCTATGTGCCTCCTGAGAAATTCGTCTCTTTTTGTATAAATAACAAAGTGTTGAAAATGTATTTCCTGAAATAAACGTTTCAAATGCAAACTCAGAGGCTCCACACTCCTCCAATGGCTGCTCTTCTGGCTGCAGGACTGGTCTGGCCAGTTGCAGGTAGACCAGGAAAAGGTTGGGCCAGGTTGGAGCCTGAATTCAAGCTCCCAGAATAGAAGCAAACACAAAACAAGAACTCCCTGGGGACTTGGGGCTCACAGCATTCCCTGAACAAAGGATTTGCTAGGAGTGAGGCTAACAGTAGGTGACAATTGGGGTGACTGCTGGGGGACTTTGGAGCACTGATTTATCAGAACTCACTGAGAAGTGTGTGGCAGATAAACCTTTTTTTTTTTTCTTTCAGTACTAGGGTTTGATCTCAAGGCCTTCACCTTGAGCCACTCCATCAGCCCTTTTTTTGTGATGGGTTTTTTTGAGATAGGGTCTCATGAACTATTTTGCCCAGGCTGGCTTCCAACCGCAATCCTCCTGATCTCTGCCTCCTGAGTAGCTAGGATTACAGGCGTGAGCCACCAGTGCTCACTGGGCAAATCTACCTTTCATTAACAGGGTCTAGATGGTTTCCACAGGGAGGAGATGTGAACTGCTTCTGGTTGGAGCTTTTCAGTTTTTCTTTCTGAAATTTAAATCTGTCGGGTCAAACACTACAAACTGGCCTGTGTTTGACAGTTTAATTTCATCCCAGGAGTACCTTACTCCCAAACAAACTGGAATCCCAAAGGCATAGCCCAGCCAGCTGTTTTGCACATGAGTGAGAGAAGTAAGGTACAAGGAATCCTGGTCCAGAAGCCCTTTGTGTGCAGAGTGACCCGAAGCTGCTATGCAAATGACCCCAAGCTGGATGTCCTGATACAGCAGAATTTTCTTGTCACAATTCTGGGTCAAGAGTCCTTCACCCTGCTCTAAGGGAGAGTCCTCCTGGGGCTCCACCTTTGTCTTCCTGTGTCTCTTCTGTCTTTGCTGAGGACACTGTCCTTAATTTAGGGCCCACCCTAATCCAGGATAATCTTATTTCCATCCTTAGTTACATCTGCAAATCAGGTTACATTTCCAAATCAGGTCACATTCTAAGGTTCTGAGTGAACATTACTTTTGGGAGACATACTGTTCAACCCTCTACACCCCCTTCCTGCCACCTCGAGGTCTCCAGAGTAACTCTAGCAGCAGAGGAGATCAGTGGGAAAGCCTGAATTGGGGCCTCAGGGGCTTGGATTCAAGGCTCACTTGCCCCCAAGTGGGTGGCCTCAGCTTACTATCTCAACCCCTATGGTCTCCCCTGGCTCATCTGTCAGCCACCTGACTTCTCCAAATGAATTTATCTCCAAATGAATCCATGGGATGCTCATCTGTGTCAGAAGTGGGTGTCCTGTGGGGACTGCACAGGCCAGGTGCCTGAGATCCTCCCTGTTCCAGGCCAGGAAACTAAGACAAATGGCAGCTCTGGTACTGGGGGAGCCATGGGTAGGGACAGCTCTATGAGAATCTGCCTGGGAAGGAAGCCAAATGGAAACCAGGAGAACCCACTCAGGCTGCACTTGGGGGTCTCCTTTCAGATTTTTACTACTTGTTTTTAAACACTCCTTTCTGGCTACAAGTGTAGCATGTCCAGTGTGGAAAATGCCAGGAAAAAAAAAAACAAAACAACCTACGCCACAAAGAAAATGAAGCTCCAACCCATGACCTGTGGCCCAATGTAGCCCTGGCCCTGGGGTCTGGCCTTGGTCTCCCACCTGGTGCGGTTCCGTTATCCTTCTCAGAGCTGACAGCGTGCATTGCTTTGCATCCTGTGGATCTGGTATTGAGGGCATTGGGTTTTGGGGGCCTTGGGGTGCTGTCCAGGAGGCCTGGGGGGAGAGAGAGGGGCCACAGGCTGGAAGGGGAGAGAAGGAGGGAGGGAGGGAGGGAGGGGAGAAAGTAAGCACTTGTGTCTGGGATGACTCCTTTCCTCATCCCCTTTCCAGTTACGGCCCAGGTGAGGATGTCCAGATAGGAGTCTTGGGAGCTGATTTCAGAAGAAAGTCCAGTAGAGCTCCCCGTCCCTGCCTCCCTCCCCCTCCTAGCCACTCCTCTCTGCTCCCCTCCCATCCCAGTGGAGATGGGGAGAGGGCGAGGCTCCTGCTGCAGCCAGCTCTGTGTCCTGGCACTGGGGACCCCTGTGGGGCTGAGGTGCATTTCCTGCACTGGAGCAGAAACCCTTTCCAGATGTTCGTGCTGCTCCACAGGGACGGGGAGGGGGAGGCAAAGCAGAGCCAGCCATGGGGGGCCTCTGGCCAGTCCTGGGCTCTGGGTCTACATTCTTTCCACTTTGCTGTGTCACTTTGGCCCAGGAATGACCCTCAGCAGTGCTGAGAGCCCTGGGAATCTCCACAGCCACTATCCCTCCCCCCCCCCCAACACACACACTGATCTGTAGGGATTCCTCCATGTGTGACCTCAGAGGGGTGACCTCAGGGGTCTTGGTGGGGACCTAAGCACAAGAGGTGCCAGTTGCAGAGTTGAATCCATGTGGAGGAGCCCTTGCATGATTTTTGTGCCCAGACCTCTGAGTTCCAAGATCTTTTGCATGTGGGAGACTCAGGGTCTGCATGCTAGTCCTGCAAGGGAGGCTGAACCCCTGCGCAAGCCAGGACACAGGACTCCATGGAACCACAGGGAGACAAAGGGAAGAGGGGACCAGTCCTGAGCCTCTCCTGCTTGTACTGGGTAATTCCAGTCACTTCCAGCTCCTTTTTGTCTTTTTTGGTGGTGGGCTAGGGCCTTGCACGCACTAGACAGGTGTGCCAACGCTTGAACCAATCCACCAGCCCTGTGTGTGTTGGTTATTTTTGGGACAGGGTCTCAGTATGCCTGGACCAGTCTGGACCGCAATCCTCCTCCTTGTGCTTCCCCTGGGGATGACAGGCACGCGTCATGGGCCTGGCCATTGGTTGAAATGGGGTCTCCAAGAACTTTTTGCCCAGGCTGGCCTTAAGCTGAGATCCTCCCAATCTCTGCCTGCCAAGTAGCTTGCATTACAGATGTAAGCCACCATACTCAGCCTCCTTCCAGCATCTCCTCTTAAGTGAGTTTGCCCCAGCGGAGCATTCTCATCTACCTGAGAAGGGACAGGGACAATTTAGGCAATTGTCAGTCTCCACCAGGCCCCTGATTGCAGCTGATTGACAGGAGCAAAAACCCTAGAAATCATCAAATAAGGTATGTTCATAAGTCAGACTACTGTACAGTTACTAAAATCCTGCTTTTTAAAAAAAATGGAAAATTTTTCATTGAGGGTAACAGTGCAGATTACCAAATGAGATGCATAATCTGAGCTTAATTTTGGGAAAACAACAATAACAAATGCTTACAAATACATTTACATTTTTTAAATTCCCAACTGTGAGCAGGTTGCCCAGCAGTGGCGGATTTCTGTGTTGTTACTTCTCCTCTTTCAAACGTTTTACACTGGGCACACCTTGCTTGTATCATCAGAGAAATACCCAGGCATTTTAGGATTTACATTTTTGGTTTTATGTTTGAGATAGTCTCTGTGTAGTTGTGGCTGGCTTGGAACTCTCTATCCTCCTTTCTCAGCCTCCCCAGTGCTGGGATTATAATCATGTACCACTATGCCCCATCCTGGGGTGTGCTGTTTCTGCAGCCCAGCCTGGGGAGACTTGCAGGAAGACATTGTAATTAGTGACTGGCCCTGGGCGCCTGTCTGTGCAGCTTGTCTGCTGCATGGCCTTGGAGTGAACTGAGCCTCAGTGTCGGACAAACGAGGATGGCAAACATCAATGCTGGAATCGAGGCGGGACAGCATATTGTGCAGGATGTCATCGCTGTGACAAAATACCTGAGAAAAACAACAAAAGGAAGAACGATTTCTTTTCACTCACAGCTTCAGAATTTTCAGTCCGTGGTCAGCTGGCTCCATTGTTTTTAAGCCTGTGGCAAGGCATGATGAAAGGGCATGTCAGAAGGAGAGAGAGAGAGAGAGAGAGAGAGAGAGAATGCTCCCAACAACTACTTCTGCCAGTCCCACCTCCCAGTTTACACCACCTCCCAGGAATGCTATCAATTATAAAGCCATCAATGGATCAATCCATTGATTAGGTCAGATCCAATCACTTCCCCAAAAACCCCACCTCTGAACAATGCACTGGGGAACCAAACTTTCAGCACATGAGTTTGAGGTGTGCAGAGATGGTTCATTATCCAAACTAACAAACCCACACTGGGCTGGATTCCCAGCCAAGCTGGGGCCCCATGGAGCAAGTGCCCATCTGCACCAGGTTCTGGTTCTACCTCTGGCCCAGTCACTCCTCCCTCCAGTCCTGGAAAGTAGGACTTGCTGTCTCCCTTTCTAGGTCTGGGAGAGTCCGAGTGTGTGTGTCCAGGACAGGGCTCCCTGCACACTGTAGGGCAGCACTGTCCCATTCAGCAGGGCAGGGTGGGTCCAGGTGACATCTGATGCAGAGTCTTAAAGGCCACCTGCTGGGTCTGCCAGCCCCTGCTACACCCACCCCACGGCAGCTTCCAACACCCAGTATTCCTCTGGGCCTCAGGAAGTTTCAGCTGGGTGAACGCTGAGTGTTCAAGAAGAGAGTATCTTCCTCCCCTCCCAGAGAGCGAGGCTATAAGTAATCGGGAGAAAGCGGGAGCATTAGTAATTAAAGCTGCCCAGAGTAAGTGGCTCTTGAACCGTCTGCCTGATTTAAAAACTAATTACCTGGAGAGTCCTTGCTGCCAGGGAGCTGCTTCGTGTTACTCGTTACCCACAATGCTAGCTGTCACTGCCACCTGCGCCTCCCTTCCTGCCTCCTCCCTCCTCCCCCTTCTCCTCCTCCCCCTTCTAGGTGCCAGAGCACCAGCATCAGGCTCCTCAGTCAGCGCTGGCACGTGGAAAGCTGTCATGGCCTCTCAGTCTCCCAGGTTAACAACTTCATCCAAGCCCTATCCCAGGAAGAAATCTAAGTCCCCAAAGGGAAGTGGCCCCATGGAGGGACCAGGCCAAAGATGCCTCCTGGGGAAACTGAGTCCAAAGT